TTTCTTGTTCTCACAGCATCTCAGCATAGTTCTCGACACTACAATAGTGAAGACATCAAAACGATGAAATAACACATATGGAATCACGTAGTAACCCAAAAATTGTTAAACAAATCAAAATATATTTTATATTTTATATTCTTCAAAGTAGCCACCCTTTGCCTTGATGACAGCTTTGCACACTCTTGGCATTCTCTCAATGCCACTAGAGAGCGATTTGGTCATTTGACTGCAGGAAAGGGGTCTTTCCACAATTCCATCATACACTATGCAGTGCATCCGGAACGTATTCAGACCCATTTAATTTTTCCACATTTTGTTACGTTACAGAGTTATTCTAAAATGGATTAAATAAAACATATTTCTCATCAATCTACACACAATAACCCATAATGACAAAGCAAAAACAGGTTTTTAGAAATGTTTGCAAAAAAAATATTTACATAAGTATTCAGACCCTTTGTATTGAGACTCGAAATTGAGCAAAGGTGCATCCTGTTTCCATTAATCATCCTTGAGATGTTTCTACAACTTGATTGGAGTCCACCTGTGGTCAATTCTATTGATTGGACATGATTTGGAAAGGCACACACTTGTCTATATAAGGTCCCACAGTTGAAAATGCATGTCAGAGCAAAAGCCATGAGGTCGAAGGAATTGTCCATAGAGCTCCGAGACAGGTTTGTGTCGAAGGAACAGATCTGGGGAAGGGTACCAAAACATTTCTGCAGCATTGAAGGTCCCCAAGAAAAAAGTGGACTCTTCCTAGAGCTGGCCGCCTGGCCAAACTGAGCAATCGGGGGAGAAGGGCTTTGGTGAGGGAGGTGACCAAGAACCCGAAGGTTACTCTGACAGAGCTCCAGAGTACCTCTGTGGAGATGGGAGAACTTTCCAGAAGGACAACCATCTCTGTAGCACTCTACCAATCATGCCTTTATGGTAGAGGGGCCAGACGGAAGCCACTCCTCAGTAAAAGGCCCTACAGCCCGCTTGTAGTTTGCCAAATGGCACCTAAAGACTCTCAGACCATGAGAAACAATATTCTCTGGTCTGATGAAACCAAGATTGAACTCTTTAGCCTGAATGCCAAGCTTCAAGTCTGGAGGAAACCTGGCACCATCCCTACGGTGAAGCAGGGTGGTGGCAGCATCATGCTGTGGGGATGTTTTTCAGTGGCAGGGACTGGGAGACTAGTCAGGATCGAGGGAAAGATGAACGGAGCAAAGTACAGAGAGATCGTTGATGAAAACCTGCTCCAGAGAGCTCAGGACCTTAGACTGGGGCAAAGGTTCACCTTCCAACAGGACAACGACCCTAAGCACACAGCCAACACAATGCAGGAGTGGCTTCGGGACAAGTCTCTGAATGTGCTTGAGTGGCCCAGCCAGAGCCCGGGCTTGAACCCGATCGAACATCTCTGGAGAGACCTGAAAATAGTTGTGCAGCGAAGCTCCTCATCCAACCTGACAGAGCTTGTGAGGATCTGCAGAGAAGAATCGGAGAAACTCCCTAAATACAGGTGTGCCAAGCTTGTAGCGTCATACCCAAGAAGACTCAAGGCTGTAATCGCTGCCAAAGGTGCTTAAACAAAGTACTAATTAAAGGGTCAGAATACTTATGTAAATGTAATATTTCCGTTTTTTTAATTTTTAATGAATTGACTAAATTTTCTAAAAACGTGTTTTTGATTTGTCATTATGGGGTACAGTGTGTAGATTGATGAGCGGGAAAAAACAATTTTATTCATTTTAGAATAAGGCTGTAATGTAACATAATGTGGAAAAAGTAAAGGGTTCTAAATACTTTCCGAATGCACTACAGTGAGGGAAAAAAGTATTTGATCCCCTGCTGATTTTGTACGTTTGCAACTGACAAAGACATGATCAGTCTATAATTTTAATGGTAGGTTTATTTGAACAGTGAGAGACAGAATAACAACAAAAAAATCCAGAAAAACGCATGTCAAAAATGTTATAAATTGATTTGCATTTTAATGAGGGAAATAAGTATTTGACTCCTCTGCAAAACATGACTTAGTACTTGGTGGCAAAACCCTTGTTGGCAATCAAAGAGGTCAGACGTTTCTTGTAGTTGGCCTCCAGGTTTGCACACATCTCAGGAGGGATTTTGTCCCACTCCTCTTTGCAGATCTTCTCCAAGTCATTAAGGTTTCGAGGCTGACGTTTGGCAACTCGAACCTTCAGCTCCCTCCACAGATTGTCTATGGGATTAAGGTTTGGAGACTGGCTAGGCCACTCCAGGACCTTAATGTGCTTCTTCTTGAGCCACTCCTTTGATGCCTTGGCCGTGTGTTTTGGGTCATTGTCATGCTGGAATACCCATCCACGACCCATTTTCAATGCCCTGGCTGAGGGAAGGTTCTCACCCAATATTTGACGGTACATGGCCCCGTCCATCGTCCCTTTGATGCAGTGAAGTTGTCCTGTCCCCTTATCAGAAAAACACCCCCAAAGCATAATGTTTCCACCTCCATGTTTGACAGTGGGGATGGTGTTCTTGGGGTCATAGGCAGCATTCCTCCTCCTCCAAACACGGCGAGTTGAGTTGATGCCAAAGAGCTCCATTTTGGTCTCATCTGACCACAACACTTTCACCCAGTTCTCCTCTGAATCATTCAGATGTTCATTGGCAAACTTCAGACGGCCCTGTATATGTGCTTTCTTGAGCAGGGGGACCTTGCGGGCGCTGCAGGATTTCAGTCTTTCACGGCGTAGTGTGTTGCCAATTGTTTTCTTGGTGACTATGGTCCCAGCTGCCTTGAGATCATTGACAAGATCCTCCTGTGTAGTTCTGGGCTGATTCCTAACCATTCTCATGATCATTGCAACTCCACGAGGTGAGATCTTGCATGGAGCCCCAGGCCGAGGGAGATTGACAGTTATTTTGTGTTTCTTCCATTTGCGAATAATCGCACCAACTGTTGTCACCTTCTCACCAAGCTGCTTGGCAATGGTCTTGTAGCCCATTCCAGCCTTGTGTAGGTCTACAATCTTGTCCCTGACATCCTTGGAGAGCTCTTTGGTCTTGGCCATGGTGGAGAGTTTGGAATCTGATTGATTGATTACTTCTGTGGACAGGTGTCTTTTATACAGGTAACAAGCTGTGATTAGGAGCACTCCCTTTAAGAGTGTGCTCCTAATCTCAGCTCGTTACATGTATAAAAGACACCTGGGAGCCAGAAATCTTTCTGATTGAGAGGGGGTCAAATACTTATTTCCCTCATTAAAATGCAAATCAATTTATAACATTTTTGACATGCGTTTTTCTGGATTTTTTTGTTGTTATTCTGTCTCTCACTGTTCAAATAAACCTACCATTAAAATTATAGACTGATCATGTCTTTGTCAGTGGGCAAACGTACAAAATCAGCAGGGGATCAAATACTTTTTTCCCTCACTGTATGTACAAAAGTATGTGGACCCCCCTTCAAATTAGCAGATTTGGCTGTTGTAGCCTCACTGAAGAGCTCAGTGACTTTCAACATGGCACCGTCATAGGATGCCACCTTTCCAACAAGTCAGTTCATAAAATTTCTGCCCTGCTAGAGCTGCCCCGGTCAACTGTAAGTGCTGTTATTGTGAAGTGGAAATGTCTAGGAGCAACAACGGCTCAGCTGCGAAGTGGTAGGCCACACAAGCTCACAGAACGGGACCGCCCAGTGCTGAAGCATGTAGCACGTAAAATGTGTCTGTCCTCAGTTGCAACACTCACTACCGAGTTCCAAACTGCTTCTGGAAGCAACGTCAGCACAATAACTGTTCGTTGGGAGCTTCATGAAATGGGTTTCCATGGCCGAGCAGCCGCACACATGCCTAAGATCACCATGCGCAATGCCAAGTGTCAGCTGGAGTGGTGTAAAGCTCGCCACCATTGGATGGACTCTGGAGCAGTGGAAACGCATTCTCTGGAGTGATGAATCACACTTCACCATCTGGCAGTCCAACGAACAAATCTGTGTTTGGCGGATGCCAGGAGAACGCTATCTGCCCGAATGCATAGTGCCAACTGATATGTTTGGTGGAGGAGGGGGCTGTTTTTTCATGGTTCGGAAATCTTTATGCTACAGCATACAATGACATTCTAGACGATTCTGTGCTTCCAACTTTGTGGCAACAGTTTGGGGAAGGCCATTTCCTGTTTTAGCATGACAATGCCCCCGTGCACAAAGCGAGGTCCATACAGAAATGGTTTGTCGAGATCCGTGTGGAAGAACTTGACTGGCTTGCACAGAGCCCTGACCTCAACCCCATCGAACACCTTTGGGAAGAATTGGAACGCCGACTGCGACCCAGGCCTAATCGCCCAATATCAGTGCCCGACCTCACTAATGCTCTTGTGGCTTAATGGAAGCAAGTCCCCACAGCAATGTTTCAACATCTAGTGGAAAGCCTTCCCAGAAGAGTGGAGGCTGTTATAGCAGCAAAGGAGGGACCAACTCCATATTAATGCCCATGATTTTGGAATGAGATGTTCGACGAGCAGGTGTCCACATACTTTTTGTCATGTAGTGTATCTCCTCGCATCCTTTTCTACTGTATCGAAGTATGTAAGGTGGGGGCAGTAATACTGACATGGTTATATTTGGCTGCCAAACTTTCCCCACTGACTTTACATTTCAACACAATATTTAAATAATATTACACAATTCTAAAATGATTTAATTCAATTGCTATTAAATACATCTGAAAAATCTATGTGCCCTTGAGCAAGGAACTTAATCCAAATTTTCTCCAGGGGCACCGTACTACTATGGCTGACCCTGTAAAACCTAAGGGGATTCTACTTGGACAACCCCCATCCGGGATTCTGCATTCCATTTCGCATGACTGTGGAAGGCTTCTTTGATTGACAATCTCTCTCTATCACACACACTAACATAATTCCAATGGATATATAGTGCAGGATATTAGTGGTTGTAATGGATGAAAACCAGTGTGGTGAAGAGGACTATTTACTACAAGATGAAGATTCACTCATAGAAGTCCAGTCCTGATGGTGGTAGAGATGATCAACAAAACATCCACCCAGAGAACCAGGAGCATGTGCGTGCTGTTCGGGAGCAGCTTCAGTCAGAGCAGGAAACTCCCGCCAAGCCCAGGCTGCAGTACTACACTGACATGTCCTGTCCAGTGTGTCTAATGCAGGCTGTACTGCCGGTAGAAACCAACTGTGGCCACCTCTTCTGTGGTTCCAGTATAATTGCATATTGGAGGTGTGGGACTTGGCTTGGTGCTATTAACTGTCCCGTCTGCAGAAAAAGTGTGACATTGCTTTTTTTGCTCTTCCAAGACCATACCTCACTGTAGCAGGTCGAGGATGGGCAGGCTGAGCCGATACTCATCTTGCAGGATCTCAATGACTACAACCGCAGGTTCTCAGGCCAGCCCAGATCTATCATGGATCGCCTGCGGGACGTCCCCACGCTGCTGCTCCACGCCTTTGTGGACATGTTCTCCGTGGACGTCCTCTTCTGAATGTTCTGTATCCGTATCCTGTGTCTGGTGGGGCGCTCATCTACCTGGCCTCCCAGCTGGACCTCATGCCCAAGGCCCTGTTTGGCCTGCTAGGCTTCATGGAAAACTTACTTGTGATCTTGCTCCTCTTCGTCTGCATTTACATCACGACAGAAAATTGGTGACTCAGAGACTGGCAGGTAGAAGAACAGCCACTGGACAGGAGTATGCGATCAATCCCATACCTCTTTATATGTCAGGTCAAAGACACTGTGAGGGTCAGAGGGTCTGTGCTATCTGGGATCCTTGGGACATCCCTACCCCATTGAAGTTGACATTTTAAATGGATACCCTTTCCTGCAGTCAAATTACCAAATCGCCCTCTAGTGGCGTCATTGGTAGAATGTTATAAATATTTTTCATATTTGTTAAAATAAATAAACGTTTTTTTTTTTTTTTTACCCGCTGAAAATCCAGTGATTCTATGTCAAACGGTTTTGTTATATTTCAGTCTTCTGTGATGTATATAAAGTGTAATATTGGGATGCAAACTCAAAATTGAATACATTTTAACTCTATATTTGACATGGTACAGGTGTCTTCTTTTTTAAAGCCCATAACCATGTGTGTGAGGTGTATGCTTTTGTTTCAAAATAGATTTGTTTAGGACTAACAAGAAACACTCTGTGTGACCCTGATTTAGCTCACTGTAGTAATTAAGGTAAGGATTAAGGTTAGGGTTAGGTAAGGGTTATAATTATAGTTAAGTTTAGGGTAAGGGTTAAGGGTAGGGACGTCCCAAGGATCCCGGGTATCTATTGCTTTGAACTTCCATACGTTCTAAACAATGCTGGGTTAAAAACAACCCAATGTGGGTAAGTATTGGACAGAACACACCTTGGGTTATTTTCACCCAGCCAGTTGGGTCACAAACAACCCATTGGGTTGTTGATGCTGGGTTATTGAGCTATGATCCACCGGGTCAGATCAGAAGACTGGAGGCGTGGCTTAGTAAGGGTGTGGCTTTCAGATAGTTATTTTTGGACACCCGCTAGAGTACATTTAATTCCAATTAAACAGTTCTGTTGAATTGTCAATACATGTTAAGGTTGAGCACTGACACTTTTGTAGCTTTAATAAGGCTTACACAAGAGTATTAGTTCCTTAAGCGCCTATGCATATCCAAATGTTGGGGTCGTTACCACGTAGTTATAATATTTAAAGAAAATTTGTAATTTGCGGTGTACAAGCTTAACATGAATGATATTTACTCTCACGGGTGAAAGACATGCCCCCAATAGGCCACACCTTTGGATTACCCAAACATGGGTTAATTTAACCATCAGTTGTGTTTTTACTCACTTTCATGCAAGGTTGACCCAGCAGTAATCCCTAGGTTATTTTCAAGAGGTGTAGCGTATTGGGGGCATGGCTTTCAGTTAGATCTTTTTGGCCACCCGTGAGAGTAAAAGTCATTTGTGTTCGTCATGTTACGTTTGTACACTGCAAATTGTAATTTACCTTCCATTGTCAAAGCAAATGAAATAAACAATAAACAAAGTAAGAAGAAACAAATGTAACAACATCAACAAAAAATTATTCGAAATAAACAATAAACATTGCACTAAATTCTTTTGTAAAAAAATTGACATTTCAAGTGTTATATTAGTGTTTTAGCAAAGTGCAAATAGTTGTAGTACGAATAGGGGTGGAAGATACTGTAAATAAATAGGTAAATATTGGTGGTATTTACAATGTTCTTTGTGCTCCAATTGTTGTCCTTTTCTCATGGCAAGGGGCCACAAATCTTGCTGCTGTGATTGCACATTGCGGTATTTCGCTAACAGATATGGGAGTTTATCAATGTTTGATTTGTTTTCAAAATATTTGTGGGTCTGTGTGATCTGTGTGATCTGTGTGATCTGTGGGAAATATGGGTCCCCCCCCCCCCCCCCTCTCTCTCTTTCAGAATTACTTTTCATTTCCCGACATGAGCAAAGAATGTACACGAACTCCATCTGGTTCTTGTTCCTTATTACGCACGACAAGCAAAGTAAAAGAGCGGAGTTGATGATGCTGAGCCGTGGGGCACTGGTCTGTGGCCCGTGACATGAACATTGTACAGTAATCTGCGCCACTCAGTCATGTTGTCAACAAGGCAGAATGGTGCATCATCCAGAAACATACCACTCCTTTTTCCATAAAATATGTTTGAATTTTCAAACTAGTTTTAATTTGTTAGGCAGATAAAGCTTTTTTATCAAAAGCAATCACTTTTGCATGTAAAAACACAGAATCCTACTCATTACTCCACGTGCTTACTTACGTCACTTTTGTTTTGAGACAACTTCGCCGTGGGCTTTGAACGGGGCACCTGGCTCACACCCAGGAGGCAGCCCGGTTCCAAAACAAATGCAATCAACTTTCACCCGGTGCAAAACATGCCTACCCGGGCGCATGGCCCAGATTAATCAAATCCCCTCAATCTCTCGTGAGTAGGGTCTGTCTGTCTTGGGGGCGTAGTCTGCCGTAGAGCCAATGAGAAAAAAGAAGGGGCAAAGACAGGACAGCTAGCAAGGAGCCATTGCGAAGAAATAAGGGCCGTTGTCAGGGAATGCGCCGTTGTCAGGACAAGTGCCCTCTTGACACTTGCCGCGATCAGACCATATTGGAAAATGTTGCACAACGTCACATGATATGTTACGAATTCCAATCCGTTCAATATGTTATGAATTTGCTATTTCTTAAGATCCTGGACTGCATCTTTCATAAACAAGGACATTATGACAACACAGTCACACAAAGGAACAGTGGCCTCTGTCGCTGGGTGGTCATTGGCTGTGTTTAGTTACAACACATCAATGGAAGATCAGAGACCCGAAAAGGAAACATTTTGCCAAGGGAAACTGGACTTTCCGTTGTGTCACTTTCAATTCCCCACAGGCTTGAGAATCCTGGATCAGTAGCGCTAACCTTGGACTCCAACATTCTGACAGTGAACCCTGCCACTGTGAGCCTCCTTTGAGCACCAACATGTTTACAGACAGGGTGACATGAACACACGAAAACATGTGAAATGTCCAACAAAACATGTTTTCATGTGAAATGTCACGTGAAAACATGTTTTTTGGACATTTCACATGTGAAAACGTGTTTTTGTAACACTTCACATGTGATCACGTTTTAAAATGTCCAATTCCATGTCTTATCGCTGTTCAGCTAAAATATGACCCCACCTGGGATTTGAACTCTCGACTTCTAGATGTTAGGTATGCTTATCTTTCTGCTGCGCCACAAAGTCTGTAGGGTTCTAGTAACCATTCATGACCTATAATACAACTCTGTTATTTTTTGTTATTGGTTATTCTGACTATTCTCTCATTATTGAGTTCATTGACTTATTTCAGCAATTTGAGGGTTTTCTGTATAGTTGTTTAATGTTGGTGGGGCATATTATTCTGTTTTACTGTTACTCCTGAATCACTATGATAAACATAATCGTTTTTCTTGGGTGTATTTTTAACAAAGATTATATTTACTTTGAAGTCCAAAGTCTAGGAATACAGGTGAAGTAAGTTACTGACTCAGACATAATGGCATAGCAGGAAGATTGGAATGTCATGGACTAAAAGGTTGTGAGTTCAAATCAAAGGTAATAACATGTTGAGTAATAATCACTGTATAAAAAAACGTACACAATGTAGTCATGTGTGTCAAATACGTAAGTTGAAAAAACCATGTTAAAAGCACTGTCTGCATCATAATGACATATTTTTGTTTGCAGGGCATCACCCATGAAATCTCATGGGAAAGGTTATGTGATCACATATGGGAATCCACATGTGAAATATCATCATGTGTAGTGTTCCAAAAACACAGTTTCACATGATTTCACATGTGAAACTCCACATTTTAAACTTCATGTGAAATATCATCACGTGATGTGTTTCAAAAACACATGGTTTCACATGATTTCACAAGTGCAAAACCTTTGGAAATGTCACATGTGAAATCATGTGATTTTTCGTAAGAGAGGTTACAGCCATGACATGAGAAGCGTTGCTGGGTTTTTCACGCTCAACAATTTCCTGTGTGTATCAAGAATGGTCCACCACCCAATAGACAACTGTTGGAAGCATTGGAGTCAATATGGGCCAGTATCCCTGTGGAACGCTTTCGACACCTTGTAGAGTCCATGCCCAGACGAATTGAGGCTGTTCTGAGGGCAAAAGGGGGTGGAGGGTGTTTTTAATGTTACACACACACAATGTATGTGCAAGTAACAAGTGTTACTGAAGGGGAGCCAATGCCTTCAGTACAGACTTAGAATGATGGAGGAAGACACGTTAAGTGGTTAGAGATGTGGGGATGTTTTTCAGTGGGTCAGCCAAACTCCTGTGGATATGAGATTCATAAGGAAGTTTAGTTGTTTACAGAACATAACTTTATGTTGGAAACGTTATTTCCACTTTCTTTCCAAATTGTTCATGTCATTATTGATGGTGCTATCAACTGAAACCTCATACAGCATCCGCACAAGAACTGCATAAAGTCAACACCAACAATCCTAAACTTTTTGTGAATGCTCGTTGAGATTGACACTGATAAAGCCACTCCTCCCATTATCCCCACAAAATAAGCAACACGAGCACTGATGTAACACAGCTTCTCTGGAGACCCCCGCCCCTAAAAAATAAGACTACTGATCGCTGTCTATGGTCCTGAAATTGCGACTTGTCTATGTGGCTGCCTATCAAATCGATGATAGGCTTTCTGTGGTGCCAGGGCATGTAGCCTATAGCTTTGCTTTAGCTTATGGATGAATGTTTATTGGTAGGCCTATTTGGTTGTAATTTTCTCATGTTAAGCTAAATATTTCACGAAGCTATACACGGTGTCACAAGACTGCCATGATTTAGACTGCTAGCTGGCGACAATAATATAATTACTTGTTTAGTAATTAAAGTTTGATTCAAACATTGCAGATTGTAAAATAAATGTTCGATACAACAGCATACTAA